TTTTGTGGTCCTGGGGATCGAACTCGGGTCCTTGCGCTTGCAAAGCAGGGGGCAAAACCACTGAGCTAAATCCCCAGGCCTATACTTTTTCTATAATAAATGTAGACTGTTTTGTGACAAAAAATATAATAGGCTTGGATAAGGAAATAAAGTGAGATTTGTTGAGAAACTATGAATATGGTATATGCTATGAGTCTGTCTTATAGACAAAATGCTTGCTGTTTTACTATATATTTCAAATAGTCCTTTATCAAAATAAGACTTTGCTAAATTTTATTTTACCATAACTCATACACAAATCAAACACATAATAATTAGTGTTATGCTTTTGAGGGCACAAAATTAATGAATATTTAAAAGGTATGTTTTTTAAAAAAGTTAAATAATAAGTCTGAGACAATATATAGTGTCATATATAGTATTACTATAAACCTGGATGTTAGAACCAGTATTGTCATTGACTTTTTATCCAGTTTTCCAAATCTTTTTAAACTTATAAAATGTAATGATTTCACTTGAGGCTGTCAAATGTCCCTTTGAAGAATACATGGTTAAGAATTTCATAATTTTTAAATCCATGCTTTGTAACCATGAATGTTTCCACAATTATCTGTAAAAATGGACATATCATAACTCTTGGTTCTGGTAGGAGGTTGATTCTCTGCTCATTTTATTTGAAGCTCTTCCATTTGGCAAAATTCCCATTTTGGAAGTCGATGGACTTAAGCTTCACCAGAGCCTGGCGATAGCAAGATACCTGACCAAAACCACAGGTAATGTGTTTATTATGGTTAAGATTTGTGATAACTGAAAAAAAATCATGGATACATGTTCAATATTCATTAAATAACTATTATTGAATATGGTAGCACACATAAGAATGGAATTAAATGCTACAGCCTTGTATTTACCAACTTTCCTGTTAATGAGACACAATACTCAGAACTTAAAAGGAGAAAGGTTCAATTTAGGTCATGGTTTCAGGAGAGTCAGTACATGGTTGGCAGGCTCCAACAGAAACATCATGGTGGAAGGACATGGTAGAACAAAACTGCATAGCTCATGGTGGTCAGGAAGTAGATCAGGGGAGCAATGCCAGAGAGGAATGAGCGAGGGACCAGATATAAGGAGTCACCCAGAAACACCCAGGAGTGTGCTTTACTAATATGCTAGGTACTTCTTAATCCAATGAATTTGACACATTGGGATTAATGGTCTCAAGCAATATAAATGTATTATCTGTATCATTGTAACTTTCCGTGTGTTTCTAGAACAACTAGACAATTACATTTTATATTACACCCCACTCTCCCTACCCCATACCTCCTTGCCTCCTATCTATTTTGAGTCAGGATCTCATTTCTAAATTTCCCAGGCAGGGCTTAAACTTGTGGTCTTCCTGCCCCAGCCTTCCAGAGTTCAGGGATTACAGGTATGTGCTGCCACACCTGGGGTGATTTTCATTCTTGTGGCACCATGAATTACTACTGCTTCTCTTCTTCCTGTTTTGCTTTGTTTTTTTCAACTTACCTTAACTTGAAATTTGCTCTTTCTTGTCTTGCCTTCTCTAGTCAACCATGTGTGTCTTTTATTCAGGGCTATAGCAGCTCTTGGGGCTGACTCACAGTTGAAGCCTATAAGTATTTGTTGGATGAAAAGGAAGAGGTAGGGTGCTGAGGTAGGGTGTGGTAACTCCATTTGGAGATTTGCTGAAGAAGACTGAGAAACCCAAACAATACTCAGAGACATGTGCAAGGGCAGACTGAGAACATAGGCCTGTGGTTTAGGGCTAAAAATACCAAATGAGGAGTCATCTGTGTAACTTTGATAACTGAAGCCTTCAGCATGGAAGTCGAAGTAGGAATGAAAAGGAGTGAGAAGAACTTACAGAATCTGAGGGGATTCCAGGTCAGAAAGAAGAATCAATCTTTGAATATTTCACACAAAAAAATAGTGTACAGATAAACTCTTAAGTGACTAAAGCATTTTCTTTCACTTTTAATAACTTTGAGGTATAATTTACACACAGGTTGCCCATTGTCTTTATTCTTTGATTTTCAATAAATTATTCCTTGATTTTCAATAAATTTAACAGTTGTACAAAAAGCAATCCAGTTTAGAATGTTTCCATACTGAATCATTTTAAATTGACAGCAGTGAGAAAATATTTAGGAAGACTAATGATTTATTATTGAATCAATGATTAACAAATGGCAGGAAAGAAAGAAGTTTTTTATTATTTTAAATTTTTAGCCTCCAAGCAGAAAACAAATGTTCCTGATGAAAACTGACTGCAAAGATAAACATTATTTTTACAAAATAAATTATAGTGTACATACAATTTTTTTATGGTAGCATTGCTTATATTAGCAAAAGATTGGAAACATCTCTGTAAATTGAGACTAGATAAATAAATTGTGACAAAACTACCTTAAAAAAGAACCATGTAGCTGAACAAAGATGTTCTTTAGGTACTTGTAAGAAAAGATCTCCAGCATATATAAGGTAAAGTGGCACATCTAGTGGAATATGTAATCTTTTGCTTGTGTTTTCATAAAGAAACAATAGAAGAATACACAAGAGTGTATTAGTTGATAAGAGCGATTAATTGATAAAATAGGTAGGTGAAGGAGTAAATGAGGTAGATGGGGATGGGTGGAAAGGTATGTTTTGAATTTGCAGTCCCATGAATGTCTCACCTATTTAATGCAGGAAGTTAAACTGAGCTGTTCGGTAAGTGTAAATGGCCTCTCTCTTTTCCACAGATTTGGCTGGAAAGACAGCAACAGAACAATGGCAAGTTGATGCCATGGTGGACACACTGGATGATTTCATGTCACGTTTTCCTTGGGCAGAGAAAAAGCAAGAAGTAAAAGTAATGTGACCAGTTTGCTATCACTATTGTTAATCACATACCACTTGCCAGAAATTAAGTGCTTTGTAAAACACTTTTTAATATAAGTAATATGTATGTCTAGTTTTTGATCATCAAATTATGTTGAAAGTTTAAAGCAAGGTACAACTCTCTGTCCTACTTCTCCACATTAAGCCCTCTCTCCCCAGATGCATCCCTCTTTTTATTCTTTTTAGCTGTTTCCTTAGAATTCCCACATGTCCATATTTCCATAGCATCTTTCTTTGGTTCATCAATCCTAGACAGTTTCTATGAATTTCTTACATCAGCGATTAAGAATTTACCTCTTAGTCACCCTCTCTGCTTCCCTTGTTCTCAAGCTCCCAGTGTAGTGTCTTAAATTTTTCTGATTGAATCAGTACTCCTGGATTAATTTTAGTGTGCCTATGCAAATAATACACAGGACTCTGCACTGTAGTATACTTTAATATTTCCTTTTTTTATTTTTCCTTGTCAAAGTTAATAACTGCCTTTTTTCTTTTATTTAATAATTTCTACTTTTATTATTGGATCTTTCCAGACCACCCAATAATCTGCCAGTAGGATTGTACTCAAGGTGACTGATGTCAAGTCACCAGCTGTGCCCAGTGTTTCCTTGGAGCCATCCAGCCTGGAGCTGTGTGGCCTCCAGTGATGTGATGCTCACTAGCTTTTCTGCCCAGCTCCCATCACTGCCACCTTACAAATGCCATTGTCTGAAATTGAAATCCCATTTCTTTCATATAGTGGCTGCTCTACTCTTTCTTCCTCTCTCTGTTGTCTGTGGGGCACATCTTATACCACACAAAAGTGACCACCAAAGTTTGATGCCAGGAGGTGTGACCATAACAGAGGCATGGACCCATCTGTCTTGGGAGTCCCACCTGTCAATCTGGTTTGGTTGCTGGGTACTTTGTGCACAGTTGTCATTCTGGTGCCCTTATTACCATTCTAGATGTTTCTTTGGTTCTTTCCTGGGCTCATCCTTCTGTTTTCTCCTTGTTTTTGTGGAACAATTCTTCAATAGCTTATTGGTCATAGAAAAACATGGGGCCTCTTTTGTCTTCACTTGTTTTATTTGATTGTCATACTTATTTCATAGTTTGGCTGTGAGAATTCTATGTTGAAAGTGACTTTTCATTAGTACTTGGCAGACATTAATTATTCAAAGTCTTTTTGCTCTTGAGAAGTCTGAATTCAATCTAAATACTGGCCTTTTGTGTGGAACCTATTTCTTTTTCTCCTGCTCTGAAAGATTGTAGAACACTTGCCTTTAGAATTCCGCCATTTTACAAAGATGAGTCTTTGTTCTAACCTGTATTCAACCATTGTGCAGTTTCCTTGTTGAGCCTGTTCAATCTAGGATTTGTATCTTGGAAATTCAAGGAAATTTCCTTTAATTATTTCACTGATGATCGATGCCCCCTTCCTTTTGTGGTTGTTGTTCATTATACTAGAATTCCTTTTACTCAGATGTTGGATCTTTCCTCTGTCTCCCATTGTTTTGTTTTGCATTACTTTCAGGAAGAATTCCTCAACTTTAAATCAACTCCTCTCTAAATTCTAAATTTCTCATACTATGTTTTAAAATTTATTAAGATTCTTTTTATGGTATTTTGCACTTTAAAAAACTATTATCTTATGTTTTTTAATGTCATCTCCTTGCCCACTGTATGTCTGTACAAAGTTGCTTTTTCCCCTCTTTGTTTTCATCTCTTTCCTCTGGAGCCAGACTGTTCTGTATAACCCATGATAAACAGTAGGAGATTCAAAAGTTCACTCACAGCTCTAAGCACGTGGATGGGAGTTGTTGGTTTTGAGTGTCACTAGGCTATTTTGGGGGGTGCTTCCTAATATCATGGTCTTCAGGTATCTTCTCACATACTGGAAAGAGCCCCTGGCAAGGATTTAGGTCTCCTGCCCAAGACAGAGGCCTGGCTGCTCTGTTCTGGAGACGCACAGTAAGAAGGCTGGGAGCCTCAGGATTTAGGGTTTGGGGCACATCTGTTCATTTGATCCTCCTATTTTTAATATGTTATGTGTGATAGCCTCTGCCCTGGAAACCATCTATTTTACCCTCTCCAGACTCCTGCAAAGAGTGGGGGAGCAGCACTTGTCTAGCAACATGAATTGAAGGAGGAAATCACATGCTAAAATTGCTTCTTGGACAGTTTTCCACCCGCTCCCCTCTCCTCCTCCTTAACGCCAGTCCTAGACACAGCCTAACAGCTGGGGGTGTTTGTGTGTTCTTGTGGTTGGTGATCTATGGAATTTGAGAATCTATAGAAAGTACTGTAAATCTATGGAGACTCAGGCTATAGGTGAAAGGAAATGGCCTATTTTACATTTGAAAGTCAAGGGATGGCTCAATTTATTGTATCTTTAAGACTCTGGAATTTTTTTTTTAGTTTCCTGGAAGAGAAAACAGATATTATAACCTTCAGTAACTTTGATTGTGCCCTGAATATGTAGCTTTCCTAAAAGTACATATTATGACTTTTGTTTTCTTCTTTCTACCTATCATTATTTCTTCTCTCCTACTTCATACAGCACTATAGATTTTGATTGTAAACAAAATTATATGTGTGCTGAATCTGCCACCTTTATCCAGAGTCCTACACAGGCCTCCTCTGTTATTCTCTATGGCAGCCCTCTAATGGTTTCCTGTAGGACATCTGGCACAATTTGAATTTTAAAATGCATTAACCTGTTTGTCCTCCACAGCTCCAGTAGGCAGTGTCCCATTGGCAGGAATCCTGTCTGTAGTTTTCAATTGATGCCCGTCCCCCCCATCTACCATGGTGACTTTTCCACTGCAGCCCTTAAATGCTCAGGGAGTGTGTGATCACAGTGCTGCATTTACCAGACACTCACTGGGGCGGCTCTTGCTTCCTGAATTCGTTTCATCACTATGCTCTCTTCTGAGAAGAAGGAATAAACAGAGAGTGGCTAAGGAGGTGCTCAGGTCACACAAGTGACAGAACTGTGATCTCAGCACAGATGGTGTGGCTCCAGACCCCATGGCTTCACCAGCTTTGGACAAATCTGTTTAAACAAGTGAATAATCCCCAGAGCATCCCTTTAAGGGTGAAGCTGGTGCTATTCCCTTTACCCAGATGAGGACCCTGAGATTTAGTACCGTGAAGAACTTGGCTAGCATTGTTTTGCTAGTAAGTGGTACACAAGGAATTCCAGCCCCATCACTCTCTGATCCCCCTAATGTCACAGTGCCAGCAGCTGCTCAAAACAGCTGTGCATAAATATTTATTACAACCGGAAACTAAGGACTGTCCAAGAGCCACAGCCCAGAGCAACAGATGGCCATCTTAGCAATCTATGCAAGCACGTTTACCCTAAATACTAATCCATTCTATTTATTTATTTAGGACCTTCTGGTTTAAATATAGATATTTGGACATAAAAGCACTTGCATTTACTGACTCTGAAATAAATGTAAGGCAGGTGGAGGGGACACACACACACACACACACACACACAGAGGCACACAAACTTATGCACAACCAAGAAAAGGTGAATGAAAGCTCAGCTTTGATAACAGAATGTAACACGACTTTGTCATAAACACATTTGTGCTCTGGAGTCAGACTGCCAGGTTTGAGTCCTGGCTTACTTATTAGCTGCCATTTAATTCCCTATTTATAGTTCAAGTTCTTTATAAAGTGGAGGCTATAAAATTCTGTTAAAGTGTGTTGGAAAGTTAAACGGTAATGTGTATACATATGGCTAGGTGGAAAGTATTCAATAAATATTAGCTATTGTAACTATGCAGTTTTATCATATAGCTCAGAGTTCATTTTTCCTTATATTTGTCAGAAACGACATCTCTCATATATCCTTATAAACACTGATACAAATAAACACATACCTCCAATTCATGAATAAAGCTTTTTGTTGCACGTGCCAAAGACCCCACTAATAAGCAGCCTGTCAGTTCATGAGTTCATTTTGCTCTACTTCTCAATTTTTGCCCTTCTAAGGCTGAGGTTCCATACCTGAAGACACCTTCCAGGGGGAAATATTTAAGATGACAGTAACACTTCACCTTTGTTACAAATCTAGCGCCTACCTCACAAACCCATTTCACAGAACACAACAATCCAAGTTCATGAATAAATCATATGATGGAGCAACATGTTTCAGAAACATTGCGAATAGCTACAGACTATGGAATTAACCAAAAGAACCTGACCAGTACACAATGAAAAAAGGCACAGTTCTGTTTCCCCTCAATTTCTCTGTAGTGGATCAATTGCTGCCACCTTGTGGTCAGAAAAGATGATGCATTTACGTATTGAATATATATATATGTAGGCAGTGACAATATTCTTGTTACCCTATGTGCTTTTAAAAATTCACCAAATGCACACAAAAATGACAAATGTTCCACTATTTGTTGCAAAGAACTCCATTTCAGATTTTTTAAAAGTTAAAGGCAAAATATATCTCCAGAAATTCTCATGATCCACTTCCACCAATACATGGTAATGGAGTGGATTTAAAATTAGTGCTTTGGAGAAATACACAAATCTCCCTATATGACCTGGAAGTCATTTGTGAGAGTATCATAGCAATGACCTCTCAGAGTGAAAAACCTACCCCTCAACTTTCTGGGAGAGGAGGCAGGAATTTTCTGAGTCCACCAGGTGTCATAGTGGCTATCTAGGATGTATCAGTGAGCACATTTTTCAAATATACATGTGGAAAAATAATATATCATCTTATCTTTTACATTATTTTGGTGATTGTTCTTCAAAATGAATGTTATGGGATCACGAGTATGCTGCTGATTACTTACATTTCGTTAGACTGAGATAATTCCCCAAGCTTGTGCAGAGTCCCTGGATAAAGAGCGGTCTCTCACAGATATTATAATGTTGTTACTTGGCGTTGCGCACCCACAAGCACTGGAGAACCCCGAGTTGTGTGCAGGTGCTGGAAGTCCCCAGGCCGGATCTTCGGAAGAGGAGTGCAGGTCTGTCCCCTCCCCTCCTCCTCCTCTCCCTCCGTTTCTAGCTGTCCTAGGAGACCCCACGGGCCAGCGCCTATCCCAGGGATGCGGGCTGAGCGTGGCTGTGGGAAGTGCTGTGGGACTTCTGGGCCCATCACTCCCAATCTCACAAACTCTGTGTAGGCAGCAGGAGGATTCACTCTTGTGTTTTATTTAAAACTGCCAACGTTTTCACCACAGGGCACCTCATGTCAGAGGAGGAACAGCACAGGGGAAAGAACATAAATCAGTATGATGACAAGCTTTGCAGGCTTCAGTTTTTAAATCACTAGTTGGGTAATGTGTGTAAATATGTAATAATGTTTTGCAAACTAAAAGGCATTATGTTCTAGTAACCTGTGTTAATCTTGCTAAATCATAGTATGAAATTAACCAGCAAATTGATGAGAGAGTTATCCACCATCTCACTTGCCTTAGTAAAGGCTGGTTGTTTAGGAATATTAATAAATAATAGGAATGCACAGCATTTCGATCTTTTGAATTTGACTCTTTTTTCATATCCAGCTTTTTTTGAGGGGGCAATTGGATATCCAACTCAGGTCTTTTTCACTGAGCTATAAGATCTTTCTACTTTTCAATTTTGAGACATGGTCTCACTATGCTGCTAAATTACCCAGGCTGGACCCAAACTTGCGATCCTCTTTCCTCAGCCTCCCAGAGTGCTGGGATCACAAGCATGGACTATCACCCCTGGCCAGCCAAAACTTTCATACATAAAGAACAAAAAGTAGATAGAAAGAAAGAAAGAGAACTTTAGAAACTTGAGTAAAATCCTAAAGATATGGCCGGGGGTTTAGCTCAGTGGTTCTGGTGCCTGCCTTGCAAGCGTAAGGTCCAGAGTTCAATCCCCAGTACCAAGAAAAAAAAAAAAAAACCCTAAGTACAATTTAAAGAGAATGAATACACCTCTTTTTACTTAAATGTTTCACATGTATTTTCCTTTCTAAGGCTCTCTGGTTTACTATGTAAATATTACCTTAATAATATATCAGAGAGGGCTATCTGGATGATAGATTTTGTAGATGATATTTGAGGCAGATAAATGTCATACTAGGAACCATGGTGCCAAAGAGAGAAAATTCATAAAGGCCCAAGAGCAAAATGGCTCGTTATGACTTATATCCATTAAGTGCAACAGCAAGGTGGCCTATCTGTAGCTCGGCCTGATGAAAGAAAGTGAATTGCCTTTCCTTCAGTTATAGTGAAGTTTAAGGATGCTAAGTGAAGAAACAATTCTAGAAATTAAAAACACAGTGGAATAATTTTTATTAAATAAAACTTTGAATGAAAACTATAAAAAGATCTAAAGGGTGAACTATTTAGTCATTATGTACAAAGAGAGTATAAAATTGATGACAAAGTATTTCTGTCAAAATCCTGAGTAATGGAGAAAGATCTATAATCGGACCTGAATCTCCATGCTGTCATGAATATGAAGGAATGAAACAAAACAGGCTGCTACTTCTACTCCTTTCTGAACTCACGTGGAAGAAGAAAGATGAGAAATCTTCCTCTTCTAATTATATCAGTTTATTTTCTTCTATTTGTAAATGATATTTTCTCTTTCTTGTAGAATCAAATTTTTAACGAGCTGCTCACATGTGAGGCCCCCCACCTTCTGCAAGACTTGGAGACATATTTAGGGGACAAAGAGTGGTTTATTGGTGACTCTGTGAGTATGACTGATATCTTTAAAAATATCAGCACATGTATTTACATAAAAGGATAAACCAAAAATTCATCCAAAGAAAATGTTACTCATGGAGAGGGAATGGGTTACACAGCAGAGATGAAAGCTAAATTCCTTCATATTAAAATTTTTAAAATCATGCAATAGTTTATGTCATTCTACAACGACAAGTTTCAAAAAACTATCTTAAAACCAAAAACAAAGTGAACAAATGAACTTATGTCAAGTAGACGCATAGACTGTGTACAGAATATGTATTATATTCTATTACTGAAAAATGAGTGAAGAAATATGATTTTGTAAAACAGTAATTTGATTATACATCTAAAGAAAGTTATTCCCTCAGAACAAAAAGTAGAAATCATACACCATATTGAGCAATGTTTTGGTGGTACTAGACACTGGTAGTAGTGAGTATTGTTTTACTGATAAGAATTTATGTTGATATTATTGAGAACTGGGATCTTCAATGTGGAAGAAAGAGACAGACATGTAAACATCAGTGAGACCAAGTGAACATCTTATTTCTGCATTTGACATACAGGTAACAATATAAGGTTATGGTGTTCTTAGGATTTAAAAACATGTTTTTTGGGAAATAACGGACAAGCCCGGCAGTCCCAAGCACCTCATCCCCAGAGTCTGGTTTTGCATGTACTAAAAGGAACCAGAGCCTCTTGGAGAAATGGCTTTGTTTTTAATTTTGTAGAGAAAACATAAAAAATGAGTTGGGAATTCCTTGTCATATCAGAAGCAAATAATTTAACCAAAGACAACTGGACTTCTGACAAAAAAACTTTGAAGTGAACGTGAGGGCTTTCTGTCAGCCAAAGATGGGAAACTTCCAGCTTCCACAATTCTATTAGCAATGAAAAAATTGAATTGAACAAATACAGACGTTTACGAAAACCACTAACACCACGGCAACCACGCACACAGACACACAGACACACAGACACTAACACACAGACACAAAACCGTAAATCAAACCTTCGCTGCTTAATTTTAGAAGCTGTGATAGAGCAATTGCTGTGAAAATGATTACAAACAAACAAAAATGCAGAAAGTTGTAAATAGAGCACTTGTTCTGCCTTCCTATGTGAATGTACTCAAGGTAACAAGAGTCACTGGACAAAGTTCCCAGGACTTCAGCTAGGAGACAGCACGGAGAGGCTTTCTTGGGGCACTGGTGACCTCTGGTCACGGTCTGCCTGCTTTAGGCCTTTGGGTGACACAGAAGCAAAAGTCCACAGCTTTATTCTCAACTCCCAGCCACCTTTCACACTTCCTCACTTTCCCCATCCACTGTCCTCAGCTTTCCCTAAAATGTTCCTCTTCCCACACTATGTACTGAAGATTTCCAAGGATTTAACTTTATAACTAAAATTCCTTCATGTACTGTTTCCTGACCCATCTCGAGGCACAGTTCCTTCCCTGCAGCTCCAAGCACAGGGGCAAGCGCTCCTTGCACACGTGCCACACACGCACCTCAGAGCCTGCACATGCTGGGCTCTCTCTGCACACAGCACTTCATCCCCAGATCACTGCACATCTGCATCCTCTTCTATCGTGCAAGACCCTTTCTGTCTCCTCTGAAAGGGTTACCCTGCCTGCCTGACAGTCCCTGCACTTTTTCTTCCTCACTATTGTCTTACTCTAACATTCAAGCCACATTGCAGAAGGAGCTAGCATCATATCTTGCTTGTCTGTCAATGCCCAGCACCCAGACCTGGCCTTGGCATGCAGTAGGTGCTCAATAAATCATCTCACATTTGACTCTGAATCGTCCAATAGCATCTCTTGGCCCACAGATGCTTAGTGAGCAAGTTTATGAAACACTAGCAACCAGCTTCTTAAATCCCACACACAAAGCTAAGAATTGTCCACATTTAAGGTTCATTCCTAAAAAAAAAAAAAGGTTCATTCCTGACTAATAGTTACATGAAAGCAAAGTAACATGCAAATTACTCTCTAGTCACACAGGCAAAATGCCCAGGTGTACAAGGGTAGGGCCAGATGGTACTCACCTGATCTCAGGCCAATCCTAGCATTCTATATTTATTTATTTATTTTTTTGTTAAATTCTTTTATTGGTACATTTTAGGTATACAACACAATTACATTTCTCATTGGGAATTGTACCTTTACATACTGCATTTTGGTTCTTATTTTTTCCCCATTCCTAGCCCTCCCTTCACCCCATCCTCCCTTCCCTATTTACAAAGACTTTATTTCCATTTTTTCCATTTCTCATCATTTTTTCTTTCCCTTCTTTCCTTTCCCCTGCCCCTCCCACTACCCTTACCCATTTGGACCTTTTCTTCCTATTTT